GATTAGTCCAATACAAGTAATAACAGTTGCAAGCCCCGCTCCCAAGAGTTCATCAATTAACACCTAGACTTAAATGTGTGCCAGTTGCTGCTTCTTCAGTGTGAGACACAAGGGATTGTCAGTGGGATCTACATCCCACTGTTCAGTTGCAGCTGGAGGATCCACTGGTCCTTTGAGTTGAGTGTAACAAGTCCAGTCTCTCTCAGCCATCCTCATTGCTGTGTCACTGGTAAACAGCAATTAGAATGGACCTTCCCATTCTAGCTGCAGCTTGGTTTTCTTCCAAGATTTGATCAGGACCCATCCTGTGTTGGATTGTATGCACTGCAAATTCTAGAAGAGGGGTCTGAGCAAGGAGGCCCTTATCCCCAAAGGTGCTGCTGTCCATGTACAGCTCCATCTCAGCCTTTTCTAAGGGTGTATCCTGCAGGTCTGGCCAGCTGGAATTTACCTGCCCAATTGTTTGCAAACAGTCAAGTTTTCTAGCACTCTCACATAGTCTCTCAAAGAAGACTAAATACTCTTTGTCAAACCCCTGTCTAACCTCATATACAGGTTGGTTTGTTTGGTTTGGCTTGCAGATCCCATTCTGGACCCCATACAAAATTCATTGCTGACATCACTTCAGTCTGTCCAGGTCCCTCCAAAAGTTAGGATTCCAGTCCAGGTTCTCCCTAGGCCTAACATGGTTAATATCATCTTGTGGATATTTATGTTCCAATTCTTTAGCTTTTTTCAACTATTCACTTTTCCTCATTACTGAAGAGGACTTCAGTATTCCCCCCAGGTGGGGTTATATGTTATCATGATTGTTTTGGGTAACTCCAACACTTTCTCCAGATTATCTCCACAGAACTGTTTCAAATTTAACAGCTCTGATGCTGTAAAAAGGGCATGCACATCAAGAAATTGTCCCTTCCCCTGACTGCTTTTCTTAAAGGGGCATGAACAGCAGCCCCTCATTCTCCTAGCTACTGGACTGAAACCTGTGTCCTTCAAATGCACACCTGCCCCTCTTTCACTGCTCCTTATATTACCATGGTGGAGGGGGAGAGCTGAGGGTACCAACAACTGCACGTTTTCTACATTCTTAGCCCCTTTCACCAACATACAACAACTTTCCTTACTAACAACTTACATTTCCTTCTCATACCATAAGCATTTCCTGAAGTCGTAAAATCTTCCATTCACAGCACATCATGTCATTCTTCACATCTGCAAAACAACATTAACTGCAATATAATACTATAAAGAATAATTTCCCCCCATTTTTCAGGGTATAGAGTGCCCACCAAGCATTACAATACATTATCAAATTTTTTCCATGTAATGTGTTACTCCCAAACTTATTCCAATATCCCAGAATACATCCTAATGGTGGACATTTGGTAATGTCACCTCCTGCTGAGGATACATTACCCATTTTCATACACAAATAAAACAACAAAAACAATATCAGACACAAATAGAACAGCGAGACTTTTAACAATCACCAGATACAAAAAAAAAAGAAAAAAGTAACTTTTCCCAAATTCCACCTTTGCACTGTTTCACCCCCTTTTTATCAAATCTCAGTCCATTCAAAACCAAAAAAACAGTAATCCAGTAAACAAAGCACAAATTTTGAGAAACCAAGTTATCAAACCAGACAGGGGACTCAAAACCCAAACCAAACTCGGGCATTCTTGGAACTTACATCCAGCAGAACTTACTCAGAAGGGGACTCGATCCCATGGGTGCTCTTATGGCCCAACCTCACGAGGCTTTCCAGTATTTTAACATTCTCCTTAATGGACTGCCCAGGGAAGTGTTCCTGGGACTTTTCCTGATGTCCCTTTTCTCTTCACTAGGCCTAGTATGGTTATTTCCCACTGTAATCCCTAAGACTCAGTCACTCACACAAACAAGTCTCTCAAAATGCCCACCAAGGTAATACTTAATAGTCCACTACTCTTACCTTGGTCCAACCACCAAGTTAATGCTTAACAGGCGACTTTTCTCTCCTGGGTCCATGGAGTTGCATGGTCAATATGATTATGCCTACTGTTCCTGTTCTTCCCCCATTGAGGTTCACAAGGTCTGACTTTAAACTTGGTCTTGAGGTCTCAGTCCTGGAATCTCTGCTGATGATCCACAGGACCATTGAAATCAACAGGGCACATGTTCCTGTCCTTCGGCAACAGACGCTCCCAGGATGACAACTTCTGACCCCAGACGAGCCCCCAGATTGTGAAGAAATGCCACAACAGCCAACAGCAAGTGCTCAGTCAGGCTCCTCAGGGAAGCACGTTTTTTTGATGTACTTGCAAGAGCGAGTGACCCTCAAAGTAGGCATAGTGGGTCAGCACTCAGCCCAGCTTTTTATTCCCTAATCCTGACCGAATTATCCCTCCCTGGTTTCCTCATTGGCTAGGTACTCCAAGATTTACAGCCTATCCGGTAAGCCTAAGATTACCAGCTGGTGTCCCTCCCCTCTTTACTTGGTACCACACCCCACCTATAAGGCTGGTTCCATCTTGTTTGTTTCTTCCTGCTTATGGTGGAGTTGTACAACCTTCTTTTCTTGAATCAGGCACTTCACCAACTTTCTAACCACTATTCTGGTATGAACCAGTTTTCTTTTGCCCAAGCTCTGAAACATTCCCACACAAGCCCTTGGGTACATCTCACTTCTAAGAAATAATTTGCTTTACAGTTACAGAATCACAGAATCACACAGAATGTTTTGAGTTGGAAGGAACCTTAAAGATCATCGAGTTCCAACTCCCCTGCATGGGCAGGGACACCTTCCATTAGAACAGGCTGCTCAGAGCCCCATCCAACCTGCCCTTGAACACCTCCAGGGATGAAGCCCCCACAACATCTCTGGGCAGCCTGTTCCAGCATCTCACCACCCTTACACTGAAGAATTTACACATGATCTCTAACCTAAATCTCTTCTTTCAGCTTAAAACCATCACCCCTTGTCCTCTCACTGCAAGCTCCTGTAAAAAGACACTCTCCAGCTTTCCTGTAGGCCCCCTTCAGGCCACTATGAGGTCCCCCCAGAGCCTTCTCATCTCCAGGCTGAACAACGCCGGTTCCCTCAGCCTGTCCTCATAAGAGAGGTGCTCCAACCCTTGGATTGTTTTTGTGGCACTTCTCTGGACACATTCCAACAGGTCCACATCTTTCTTGTGCTGGGGGCACCAGAGCTGGATGCAGTGATCTAGGTGAGGTCTCACCAGGTCAGAGTAGAGGGGCAAAATCACCTCTCTTGATCTCCTGGCCACATTTCTTTTTATACAGCCAAGGATGGAGTTGCCCTTCTGGGCTGCAACTGCACATTGGTGGCTCATGTGCAGCTTTTGATCCACTAGTACCCCCAGGTCCTTTTCCACGGGGCTGCTCTCTAGCATGTCTGGCCCCAGCCTGTATTCATATCTCTGGTTGCCCTAGCCCAAGTGCTGGACCCTGCACTTGGCCTTGTTGAGGTTCACCTGGGCCCACTTCTCTAGCTTGTCCAGGCCCCTCTGGATGGCATCCCATCCCTCTGACATATCAGCCGCACCACCCAGCTTGGTGTCATCAGCAAACTTGCTGAGGGTGCTCTCAGTGCCACCGTCAATATCATTAATGAAGATATTAAACAACCCTGGGCCCAGCACTGACCCCTGAGGGACACCACTTGTCACTGTTTTCCATCTGGACTTACAGCCGTTGACCTCTACCCTCTGGACACGACCATCCAGCCAGTTCCTTATCCACTGTACAGTCCACCCACCAAACCCATATCTCTGCAATTTCGTGAGAAGGATGTTGTGCAGGACTGTGTCAAAGGCCTTGCAGAAGTCCAGATAGATGACATCCACTGCTTTTCCCTAGTCGACTGATGTAGTCACTTGGTTGTAGAAAGCCATGCTGGCTGTCCTGGATCACCTCCTTGTCCTCCATATGCCTTAGCATGTCTTCTAGGAGCACCTATTCCATGATCTTCCCAGGGACACAGGTGAGGCTGATAGGTTGGTAATTTTTCAGGGTCCTCCTTTCTACCCTTTGTAAATATGGGCATAAACATGTCCTTTCTTCCAGTCACCAGGGACTTCACCTGACTGCCATGACTTTTCAAGTATCATGGACAGTGGTTTGGCAACTACATCCGCCAGTTCCTTCAGGACTCTGGGATGTATCTCATCAGGTCCCATAGACTTGTATATCTTTGGGTTCCTCAGATGACCACGAACCTTATCTTCACTTACTGTGAGGGGGGACTTTGTCTCTCTGGTCTACATCTTGTGGGTCATCAACATGAGAGTTGTGAGGAGAGGTTGCCAGTGAAGACTAAGGCAAAAAAGTTGTTGAGAATCCCAGCCTTCTCTTCATCTGTTGTTAGCATTTCACCATCGTGGCTCATCAGGGGGGTATGTTTTCTTTAACCTTCCTTTTCTGGTTTATGTACCTGTAGAAGCCCTTCTTGTTTTTCTTAGCATCTCTTGCCAAGTTCAGTTCTAGCTGTGCCTTGGCCTTCCTGACCTCATCCCTGCATAACTGGGTAGAGTCCCTATACTTTACCCAAGATACCTGTCCCCTCTTCCACTGCCTGTATAGGTCCATCTTGCCTTTTAGTTTCACCAGCAGGTCTCGACTCAGCCATGTTGATCTCATACCTTACATTTAATGGAAAATAGCAATGGCTTTTACAAAAACTATATATATATTATAGCTTCTGCAAAAACAGTAGATGTATTTATTTATTTTCTACTTCCTACTGAGTGTGCATTAGTTTTCTTACTGTACTCAGTTTGTGTGAATTCTACTTTGTGTGGATGAGTGAATGGTTTTACTGTTCTGGACCAACTTCTAGTGTGCCCTTTGAAACTTCTGCAAATCTATTGTGAATGGCCTTGTAAGCAAGTTGGGCTGGGCAAACTCACAAGCTGATTTTGCAGCAGCCAAAGGGATTGGATGTTGACTGCATACCCAGTTCTCATATGATTCTCAAAATTTTTGTCCTTCCTACTAGGAGCAAATGCCAGCATGACCAGGGTCTGAGAAAGTGCTTCTGTGTTCCCACCAAGGGTTTGCAGACACAGAGGAAGGGTGCAAAGAGAGCAAGGACATTTTGAGCTACCATGGATATCCCCACCGATTTGGTGCCATCTTCCATGATGTCCCAACCTGAGGTGATTGAGGTGAGTAGAACATGAGGAAACTTGCAACTGAACTGGCTGAACCTATTTCTTACTTCCTCATTGAATGCTAGATTTTCTCCAGTCTCACTTCTACGTCATTGAGGCAGTTTTTCTTGAAATGTTCTATGAAAGACACTCATCATTTGCTAAGAATGATGTTATGCTTTGAGGCACATTACTGCTGTATTATACTACTATTTGTAGAAGAAACTGTATGGCAAAATACTAATTTTATTGAGACCATGTAGGTGGTCCATGCACCATGGATTTGATTTTTACTATGTTTAATGAATACAAAGTAGAAGAAGGTCATAATGTGGTTCAGTTGTAAAAATACCACAGGAAATTTCAGGTTTGGTTTTCTTGTCGGAGAAACTGCCATCAGCAGCCATAAGATTAATAATTTACATACAACTACTAACACACTAATCTTGCTTTCATGAATCAACATGCATGTTTCAGACTTGATATTTATAAATACCTAAGTGATTTCTTCAGCCCTATGTGCTGAACACCAAGTACTTGTGTTTTCTGGGCTAAATATTACAAACAGAAAGGGAGATGTTAATAACAGTCAAGACTTCATCTCAGGAAGGCATTTTCAGAGTCTCTTTCACTTCATAGAGACTTATGTTCTTGTTGCAACATAAAACTTTTAAGGATAAATGTTTTACTGAAGAGGTCCCCACAATTGGTAAAGGTAGATGTCAGAAAATTGGAGGTGTAATGTTTATTTTGCGTTGTTTTTGTTTGCTGGAGATTGTTTGGCTCAGGAGACTATACCTCTTAGCAATATGCACTGAGAAGTGCAGCAGCTCAGAGATACCAAGATCCTGTGAAGTTACAAAAAATATGTCGACTAATGGGTTGCAGTGTAAAATGAGCTGAATGCAAAATCTGTTTTGGGGAATCTACTTTGTGCTCCTTTTCCTCTTGTGTTTCAAATGGAGAACTAGTATATTTTTAAAGTTATTTTGGTTGCTTCTGAAGGCTCTGTCCCTGTTGAGGGCAGAGAAGGATCTTGTGTCTTCACAACAGAACAGAATCCCTGATAGGAGGTGAATGCTGTGTGCTTGCGTACGAGGCTGCCTGGCTGCTGCTGATCTATTCTCCCTTTCTGGAGAAAGTCTCACACAGGCCATCTGCTTGAATCCTGTGAAAGGCACTTACACCCCTGTCTCCATGGATTCTCTCTTCAAAGCCTTCTTTATGGATAAGAAATGTGTGTATCTAAGGATTGCTGTTCAGGGTAAATTTCTTCTCAAAGGGAAAGTAAGTTCAGCTGTGGGGCAAGAATGAGTGAAAGAGAAGCACTCCCTTGTAAAGGACATGATGATCAGTGTAGTCACCGTTCTGTTGTACTTACGGGTGAGTAACTTCACATGTCCTGTGTCTGCAGGGAGGTTCTGCTGAGTAAGTCCTGCCCTGAAATTGCATCGCTAGACCAAAGGCTAGAGATAAATGGATGACTCTGATCCTTCACTGGTAATCCAGTCAGCTCTCCCTCCACATTAGAGTTTTATAGACTGTTTCAATGAGATTTTACATGGGAGCCAGAAAGAAATGGCAACAGGAAGCAAAAAAAAAAACAAACCTGGTATCTCAGTGTGGAAGATTATGGTAGAAAAAAATTGTTCTCTCAAGCTCATGTTGTAAAAATAGAATATATATGAACAGACTTACATGCATGCATGCATTCCCAAAGATGTCAGTAAACTATTGTGGATCTGATGGTTGATAAAAGGCATTATTCCTACGTAAAGAAATAACAGCTACAATCAATCACCTGGGAGCCATGGGTATGTTTCTGAGGATAAGAAAGAGCTTTTTAGCAGGCAAGGATATAGTAAGATATGTAGCTAAAGGAATAAATCATTAGATGGAAGCACTGAAGTAAAGCACTTTTCAGACTAGGACTGCATGGGCTTGCCTTTCATGATTGTGTTGACAAATGAATTTTGGATATAGTTTAGAAAATGATATTCATTGAAATACCTTTTATTTTTTTCTCCTAGAGGATGTTATTTTACCTTTTAAAACTGAGCAAATGCCACAGTGTTCTGCAGAAGACATTTATAGATGAATGTATTATGGAATGATTTAAAAAAAATAAATAAATTTGGACTTAGCCTTGCATGCCTTCTGCATGACCTAGATGGCATCTCTGTTACAAAAAGTGGTGTTTTACTACTTTACTTAAAACTTTATTTAATCTTTTTTAATCCTTTATCTATCTTTACACTTTCCTTTAGCATTGCCAGGATAGTTGGTTTCCTTCACCTTTGGTCAATTTAGTCTTAGAAATAAATATCTATTTTGTACACACATGTATATATGTGAAGGTACGCGTATACATCTCAATAATAAATATTCCTTTGTCTATCATCAGCTCTTTAACTGCACAGGGCAAGCAAGATTAGCCTCTTACTTACCACAGAGGTGAGTCCTAGATCTCAGTAGGACCTTTTATAATCTGGAGCTCACCCTGACAGGTTTTTGCTTGGGTCTGAATCCTAAATGTGCTTGTGGTGGCACCACAACGAGGGAAGTGCCTGCTAATTTGTTTGCAAATGTTATCTTTATCAAGATTCATATTGTGAGTCAGGTAACGAAAGATTCACATTTTGGAAAAGTTTTTTAAAGCCACTGCTGTGAAATTGTTGCTACTGATTTAAAATACACTTTTGCTAGAGTGTCAACGTAGGAAATGCTTTTGGTTCTCTCTACAACCCTCAACTGAAGCAGCACATTTTCCACAGTCTTGTCGCTTCTTATCCTCCCTATCCACTAACATGTCCAAAGCTCTCTGTTCCCGTCTTCATTCCTCCTCACAACATCCTGTTACCAGATGTAAGGAGTGGCAATTAAAAGCAAAGATTTAATGCATCTTGGTTACATTTAAATGAAGATAAGTTAAATTTTCAGGGGAGTTTAGCTATGCATAGCTGAAATCTGGAGTAGAAAATAGTTCTAGGACACCATTCACAGTGTGTCAAGTAAGTCAATGAAACACAAAATTTCCAGAATATCCATTGAATTGTTGGCAACTGGGTTTTATTGTAAGGCAGAATCTAGTGATTTCAGATTAGATAAGCTGTTCTGCTCCTAAAGAGAGAGAAATAAATCATATGAGAACATTTGGTAAATAAGTTGGAGATATTTTGTGTTGCATATGATTACTTTATGCCTTAGCTATGTATAAGCAAAATTGTATCACAGAAACCTGATTACTGTGATAATGCAGTAAACAGAAAGTTAAGTAATTCTGTAAGAAGCATTTAGCATCCCAGAGGGCTCTGCTGTTCGTAAAAAAGAAACATAACAAGTGGTGATCTAAACTGATAAATGCAGTCTGTGGAGTGATCGTATCTTCTCTTTGTGAATGGCATGAGATTAATTCTGCAGTAAAAGCTTTGAAGAAGAAATTATTTCAGCTCCAGTTGCTTAATGAACTAGGGACTTCTGACAGTGCATCAGAAATTCTTAAAACAAGAAAACAATGAAAATTCATTGTTTTCTCTTTGCTTTTGCCAGCAATGGATCCTACCAGCCAAATACTAGAAGCAAATGAGTATATTTAAATAACAGTCTTGCAGCTATTCTGAAGAGAAATCCAGAGCAGTTTCCATTATAGTGGCCTTTCATGGCTGTGTGGTTACCAGAGCCAAAAACCACTTCTCTCAGTCTGTGCCATTGAATACTTCTCTATTTTTCCTTCTTTTTGTTTGAAGTAGAGTAGAAGCAATTTAAACTAACCTTCTCACAGAATGGTCATCCTCAATACCTTTTTCCTCTTTATGGTGATGCTTGAGAACAGACTTCTGTGGGGTGGCACAGCTGTTGTTGTCCCTTTCCCCAACAAAGCTAAGCATGATTTACATTTTGGATCTGGTGCCTCAATTTCTACAGCCAACAAATATGCTGATTATTTTTTTTTTTTCTCCCCTTCTAGGTGAGTAAACAAGTTAACTTCTTTACCTAAACAGACCTCTGGTGGCGATAAATAAGATAAACAAAAGAAAAAAAGGAAGTGGTGAGAATGGAAGAAACAGTTAATGATTAGAGGTATATCCACCCAGTTACAGGCATAGGGAAAACTTAAATACTAGTATGCTTTGTTGTTGTTATGATTTTTACACTAGATGAGATTACCAGAGGTACAAAAACCACCTCCATTTTGTTCAAAATAGACCAATTGTATGAAGTTACTGATACAGAACCTATTGTTGCCAGAGCCCTGAGAAAGATTTTTCTTTAGTCTGTTTATATATTTCACAGAACAGAGCATCAAAGCAAAACAAACCCAAACTGTCTGCTCTATGTTAAAAAAAAAAATAAAAAAAATTATGCAGTAAACACAGGATAGTCTTCTTATTTCCATTTGGAAATCTCAATTTCCAGGCCAAAATGAAATTTGCTATGCTCATTAATGTAATTTCAAATAAGCATTTTGCTTGTGGGCTAAACTCTCCATAGTACTCACTTTGCTAGTTTGCTTAGTGACAAGTGATCAAAGGTGTGCCCTGGGAATGGAAGTAGCACCAATGGCCTGCAGTATTTTTTCAGCATAAAAGACCAGTCTTCCTGCTGCTGGAACCAAGAATTCCCATCTTGTCTTGCAATGCACCAAACTGGGCAGAAAGGATGCATATTGCAATTCACTATACAACAAAGCTGACTTGGGATGTTAAAGTTGTGGAGGTTATTTTTCCCCTTCCATTTCTTCCACCCTGATGGCTTCTGAAGTAACACAGATAGGGGACTGTGATACTTCACTATGGTGGGGTCTTTGGGGGAGATCTGTCCTGCACTGCTCGTCCTGCACAGCCTGCAGGGACTCAGAACAGGCTGGATGTATATTTACGATGTTCAGGTTGAAGATCAGGCAGGTAGGCAGCCAGGTAATGAACTGGGTGTAGTAGTGGAGAAACGTAGTCCGCATCATGACACAGACCTTTTTTTTAAGGCATAAGAAGTGGCCTATTTCAGTCACTAAATTA